CGAGCAAGGTTGTTGATGCTGCGCAAGAGATCAAACCGACAAATTCGTGCGGCGTACAGTATACCTTCGTTAGTATACTTGCCGCTTGAGGAGCCAAAGCGCCTCGATTAGCCTCTGTGACTTCCTCTTCCACTAGGCCTTTGGGAACAGGTGGAGGCGGTAACAACCGACCATCCTCGTCAACCGGCATGGTGTTTCCACACCACGTGCATCGATGACTTTTACCGTTGCACACCGGCGCCCTGGCTGGATGATTCTTTGTCTCTTCCGCAGGACTCGGCGATGGAACCGTTTTGAATTTGCTTGGGTCGAACCCGGTGACGTCACAGTACTTCTTGACTGTCATGTCGAGGTACGTTTCCATGTCATAGGTTACGGTCTGCACACGTGTCTTGTCGCGCAAGATTGTCTCGCCTTTGGAGATACGGCAGCCGAGACACAAGCCTAACGGTGTTTCTTCTTCGAGACGAAGTTCCTTACGTAGCATTTCCCAACCTGATGGTAGCTGATCCTTGGGCCCAGCCATCTTCAAATCATCGACGTAGATCACCAGGAGCAACTTCTTTTCAGGATGGAAATACAACGACGGCCATTCATCCACAAGGGGCCTGAATCCGACCTTTTGTACTGCTGTATGACAGCGTTGTTCCCACATGGTCCCCACATCAGGATGTCCACATAGCGCCTTGAGCTGCTGTATGACAGTGTTGTTCCCACATGGCCCCCACATCAGGATGTCCACATAGCGCCTTGAGCTGACAGATGCCAAGCTTCTTCAGGTAGCTCAACCCAACACGGAGCGCCCGTGAGTCTAGCCTGGATATACGCTTGTATAGCATCTGCCATTTGAACATCATTTCCTGGTAGACAACCGTAGTAGTCGGCCCACCTTGATGCATCAAAAGTAGCCGGGGAATTGCCAAGATCTTGAAAGAGCGCGGCTTCCGTGTTCTGGTCTTTGACCTGATCGCCGAGTAGAACGCATCGGCCTTTGAACTTCCTGGCCGGATCATCCTCCTTCAATTGGTAGTTCTTCTCGTAGATGAGTCCGTGCACGCGAGCCATATGTACTTTCTGTCCTTTCTGCTTTGCTTCTTTGACCACGTCGTCATATTCGCGGGTTTGGGAGAAATCGAAGACTTCCTGATCCCACAATCCCTTCCATTCCTTCATGAACGCTTCCATGGCTTTTGGGATTAGAAACCATCTCCTTCCGCGTAACTGGACGAGTGACCATAGCATTGAAACATGATCTCTGTTCCGGGTTCTTGACGCGATGTTGCTGTTGCGGTACTGACGTAGTGCAAGGCATGGAGGGTATCCAATCTTCACTGAACACCGAGCAAGCCGGGACTGCCGGGATGACATCTTCGAGATACTCATCCTGAAGCTGCTGTTGAACTAGTTCCTCAGCCCACTCAATCCTTCAGTGCATGACCCTCCTAATTCAAGATCAATTTTGTCGCACTGTACGATCTTGGGACAGATCATCTTGTCCAACAGATTGTCCACAATTTTCTTGCCCACGGAGGCTCTCTTCTTTTCCTTCTTGGCTGCCTTGGCCTTTTCTCTTTTGGCTTTCCATACGCCGACCGTCGCTTCCGACCTTGTAAATAACACCACGTTTGTCAAAATTGCAAGCCTCGCCATCGTCATTGAGGTAGATCTTGCCATCGCCCTTGGTGCCAACATGCCAGTGCTCGACATCGTCTCCCACGAGCTTTGCATCTTTTAGGCAACGT